GCCTCTTGCAGTAAACTGAACTTTAACTGACTCAAATGGCACTTTGATCACTTTTACAGTTTATACAAAATCGAGATTTAAATGCTATTAATAATATTCAGGGTTTCTTCCAGTGTATTATAAGCCTGGTGGGCCACCAGGCTTTACTTGTGCCCCCACCAGGCTAAGCATTGCTTACTTATTTCTTTTTCAAATGTTTGCAGTTTTAAAACTTTATAGTTGGTGTTCAGGTACTAATCTTCCAATATTTCAATAACACATAATTATCAAGTAATATCTTCAAATTTCCTGTCAACGTTTGACATTTTTTAACTCAAATTACTGGTTCAAAGCTAACATCCAACCAGTTTCTTCTTCCAGGTCCAGTTCAATGAATGTTTTGACGATTTTACTATTTTTTCTACATTAATTTCACTGAAATGTTTTGTTTGTTTTTTTTTCTTCTTCTTTTTCGTGCTCGTTCACAAGGTCTCTGACCGAAATATATCCACATAGTTCTGGTCTGGTTCATGTGTCCGACTGAGGCTGAAGTTAATAGTCTAACAGAATTCATCTAATATGGGTTCGGAAGGTACCACCGGGTTCCTGGCCCGCAGCTTAAACAATCTCTCTGTGTTAGCAGTTAGCAAGTGGTTCTGGTTTTGCTATTAAAACGACCGGAACCGCAGTTTAAACAACCTATTTGTGAAAGCATTCAACAGCTAGTACTAGTTCGGGCGGTACCAATCCAATTGGCAATGTAAACACCGTCTTTGTGTTAGCAGCTAGCAGCTAGCCGCAGCTACTCACTTGGAAGACCAGCCTCTCCACTTCACCAGATACTCGAACTTTCCCTGCAGAGACACACACAGTAAGCACAAGAACCGGAACCAGAACACACAGAGAACTATGGACTCACGGTAGGGTCCGTTTTTACCTTCCTCTGCCGTTTGCTGAGGATACACTCAGCATCGAATACCTGGCCCACCGTCACCCCCTCCATCACTGCTGCTGCCGCACGATCTGGACTTTACCGGCCCCCGTAGCTCATCCTTACGGGTTATGTCCGACAGTAACCTCTGACAATCTTTCCTCACAACTCACTTTCTGAACACATATAATAATCATATTAACACCTGGGGTATTTTTATGGTTATTATTTATTTATTAAACATTCAATTAGTTTTTTTGTTTGTTTATTCGTGCATTTACTTAAAATTAATTATACTTGTCTGTTTGCAATTCAGGTTTTAATAAATGTATAGATAGTTTTTTTGTATAATATATCGATGAACGTTAATCTACATCCACTTAAGGCTTATAAAGCAAATCTATCAAATATGTCTTGGTAATTTATTCATGCAATTGGATAATTGATTTTCTGACTTTAATTAATTAATTTATTATTTATCTATTTTTATTGATTTGATTTAATATTAGTCATCCTAATATTTAGGATTAGGATGACTAATGTCGATTTATCATTTGTGTACTAAGCAGATTATTTCCTCCTTTCTTCCTTTATTTCTTTCTGTCATATTATAATTTTGTTCTTTTTATTTTACTTTTAATGTACTTATATTGTACATTTAAAGTACAATATAAGTATTGCTTCTTTCTTTTTGTGTTTTGTATTAATTATTCTTCTGGGGGTAGGGGGGTTACATTTGTATTTCTTAATTTTCTATAATATTTTAGTAATTTATTTTCCCAAAACAACAAAATTGTGGATACAATAACTGTCCTGCAGACGGCAGTAATGAACCAAGCGGACGGAACTGTGCCTGCGGAATTTTTCTTCTTGCGGTAGGAGCCAATTTCGTGTTGCACTGCTGGATGTTTGATAACCGTATGTTTACTGCTGAGCTGCTCTTCATAGGTAACTATACTTCTATTACTACTGAACCCAGCTATTAAAACTGAACTCACGATTCGTTTAAACTCGGTGTTTTGTTTTGTTTTGTTTTCTTTTGTTTTGTTTTTGCCTTGAGTCCTGGTTGCAGGTCTTATTATGTAGTGAGGAGGATAAACACTGACCTCAAGTCAGGTTAGGTATATATGTTCAGACATGTAAAGACATTAAACAGCTGATTTGAGCTCTGACTTAATCATCGTGAGCTCAGCAGAAAGTTTCCCTTCTGCATTCTTAGCAAAAGGGAGACAAATTAGCTGGATACAGATAGAAATAACGATTATAGATAAGTCAACTGGAGAGACACAACTGTGCCCATTACAACAATTTTACTTGCAAAAGCTTTTGGATATTTCTCAAGGTCAGAGTCAGTTTCTCATACTTCATTCTTTTGTTTATTCAATATTCATTTGAAAGATCATGGCTTTGAACCCCAAATGCAGTGTACATTGTGCTCTGTTTGACATGCAGCTGAGCCCCTCAGGTGAGATGCTGCTGCCTCTTCTGCTGCGTCAGTCCTTCTCGCCCCTGTTGACGGGATGCGTCCGGGCGCTTCACGGCAGCTCTCAGAGGACCCTGCTCTCCCAGGGTGAACACTTGCTTCAGCGGCGGCCTGCGTCTCGCCTCCCGACGAGGAACCACAGCAGGAAGTCCAGGGATCAGGAGGAGGAGTGGAGGACCAGGAACAAGACGGTGCTGACATACATTGCTGCTGCCGGGGTGGGAATGATTGGGCTGTCCTATGCTTCTGTACCTCTGTACCGCCTCTACTGCCAGGTGAGACACACACACACACACACACACACACACACACAAGGTTGCTGTGGGCCCGTGTGACCTCTCCGCTTTTCTCCCAGGCGACGGGGCTAGGCGGCATGGCTGTTGCCGGACACGACACGGATCAGGTGGAGACAATGAAACCGGTGAAGGAGCGCATCATCAAGGTGACCTTCAACGCCGACACGCACGCCAGCATCCAGTGGAACTTCAGACCTCAACAGACGGAGATCTACGTGAGACTTCCCACTCGTGCCATCGAACTTCCTGTCAGAGAAGACACGATCTTCTCCGCATTAAACCTTTCTCCTCTCTCTTCGCAGGTGGTCCCGGGCGAAACGGCGCTGGCCTTCTACAGAGCCAAGAACCCGACAGACAAACCCATCATCGGCATTTCCACCTACAACGTGGTGCCCTTTGATGCGGGACAGTACTTCAACAAAATCCAGGCGAGTTTCAGACTGCTTTCTCTCTGCAGAATGCTGAGAATTTTTAAAAAATAAAACAAAGGCTGAGGATTAGAGCAGAGAGGAGACCTTTTAACCCCCCCCCCCAAAAAAAAACTCTTATCATCTGAGCTACTGCTTCTCTTCAGCAGAGATAGGGAAGATGTGTACAATACCACACTTTTAAAATGTTGAAAATATTTTGTGTGGGCTTGTCAAGTAAAATCCCAATTAATCATATGGCCAAAGTCAATTTTTTGCCAAAACCACATGACTCGACATGAGCAGGGACCTTCTGTCTGTTGCTTGCAGTGCTTCTGCTTCGAGGAGCAGCGTCTCAATCCTCACGAGGAGGTCGACATGCCCGTCTTCTTCTACATTGACCCGGAGTTCGACGACGACCCGCGGATGGCTCGGGTCGACACCATCACGCTGTCCTACACCTTCTTCGAGGCCAAGGAGGGTCAGCAGCTGCCTCTGCCCGGGTACAGTTACAACTGAGCCGAATGCGGAGACGTCCGCCGGAGGAACCGAAGGCCGGAAAGAGACTCGTCACGTTTGTTCCCCGAGCAAATAATCCTCCATCTTCTGACGACTTTCCACGATAATCCGAAAGCGATCATGGTCAGGCAAAAGCGCGCCGTTCATTCAGTCAGTCCAAGATTTGCGTGAATATTTTGTTTTTGTTTTTGTTTTTTTTTTGACTTAATTTTCTGCACACGGAAGCGTTGCTCTGAACGGCATATTAAGAAGAAGAAGAAGAAGAGCTAAGGGTTTCGGTGACCCTGGTCCGGTCCATTTGATGCCTTAAAATGACAAGCAAGAAGCAGCGGAACTTGAAAGATGCTAAAAAATTCAGACTCAAGCGATATTTCTGGTGCTGCTGAAAGACTGGAAGCTCAAAGCCGTCAAGGTGGAGCTTTACGTGAATGTTTATTTTCAGTCACCTGTCAGGAAGCGGATCAGTAAATCCTGATCTGCACTTCCTTCCGAAACATACTCCTGTGTTTCCTGTGGTTCTTCCCGCGTCCTGCTGGGTTTTCAATGAAACAACCTCAGAGACATCCAGCAGCTCCGATCTGCAGAACGAACGCACTCCTTCTGGGGAATAATATAAATGTCTGCACATATGCATCACGTCTTTGTATGTGTGGTTTTTGTTTTGCTTTTTATTTGGTTTTATTGGACCTTCTCACAAGTGGGTTTTCTATGTATGCATAAGAATGACTAAATAAATAAAAAATATTTGCTTTTTAATGACACAGCTGTTTCTTTATGTATGTTTAATGATCAGATCAGTGATTGTCCATGAGAACACGGCTCAAAAGGCTGAACTGACACAATTTTAGGCAGGTGGTCATGTTGTTACACCTCAGTGGTGAATAACAAATGTCCGTAAAATTCACATTTTTTTTTAAATGAAACTAAAACGAGAAGACCTTCAGAAAAAACAAGAGTATAAAGAAATGGTAGGACCATAAAGACTTATTCTGTCATAAAAAATATATAAATCTTTCATCTGTGACTTGTTTTCATGTGTTTATCTTGGCTGTTTTTCCACTGAAAGTCGCAATTGCTGTATTTTAGCAAAAGCAAAACAAAAACGGAAAGAATTTTTGAATGAACGTGCTTTTATTTTGAAACCTCAAACGAGAAAGGAAAAAAAAAGATCTAAACTATTTTAATTTGATGTCACAAAAGTAGCCAGTCTCTCAATCAGACAGCTGCTCCTGCTCTAATTGATGTTCGTCTCCTCCAATTGGGATTCGGGGTTGCCCTAGCAACTCAATTGTTGGCCCAATCAGATTAAAGCAGGCAGATATCTATCCCTGTTCTCTCTCTCTCTCTCTCTCTCTCTCTCTCTCTCTCTCTTTCTTTCTTTCTCTCTCTCTCTCTCTCTCGAGCTGGGAGGCGAGGGTTGAGTCCCCGAAGGTCCGCCAGCTGGTCCTCCTCTGTGAGCAAGTCGGGGACCCGAACAGAACCGCGCGCCGAGCTGTTCCAGCTGCAGACTGAGGGGGGCGTGGCGCGCAGGTAAACACTGAACGCGTAGACGACGCGGGGACGCGCGTTTTTATTTACTCCTCTTCCTCCGCGGGGAAGAGGAGGAAGAGAGCACAGCTCGTGATGGGACACGAGCCGCGAGGATGAGCCACAGAACCAGAACCAGTCCGATCCGAGCCTACGACTTCCTGCTGAAGTTCCTGCTGGTGGGAGACAGCGACGTGGGGAAGGGGGAGATCCTGGAGAGCCTGCAGGACGGAGCGTCCGAGTCCCCGTACGGGTACAACCTGGGTGAGTGAGGATGGGGGGGTAGGACAAGGGCTAAACGCGTCCGATTTTAGTGTGTGTGTAAAGTGGCGTCCACTGTTTCAAGGCTTACCGTGGAACAACGCAGTGTTATGTTGGCAGGATTCTCTAATAGTTTCCTTCCTGTGATCAAAAAAAAAAAGAAAAGAAAAAGAAAACATTCCTCCAGGCTTTCTGAAGCCCTGGCAGAGTTTTTACTTGGTTTCTAGCTTCCTTATCACACAGTTCCAGTCTAGTTTGACGGAATTTAGAATTTGTTTATACAAGAAGGAGACTCCAAAGTATTAAAAGTGTTCAAATGTCCAGGTAAAACAACTCCCTGAAGCTGCAGGTCTGAACTGGAGAGCTTGAGAGTAACAACCTCAACCTCAAAATCCAATATGAATGAATATGGTTATTACACAAGTCTTCATCTGCCACTTTATACACCACCAAAACACACTGCCACCCCTCGGCCCCCTAACTAATGGTGCATTTGATTTGTCTCTGAAGTTGGAGATAATGGCACAAGTTGAATGTGATTCAAGTTGCCAGAAATGCCAGTAAATAGAAATCAGATTTCCAACTTTACTTGCAAATAATTTGAGTACAAAAAGAACCCCGTATGCATTTAATGAAGAGAAAAAAAAACTTAGAACCCCCCCCCACCCCCATAAACTTAAGAAATGCAAAATACAGATTCAGCATAACATTGAGAAATCTACAAATCCCCTTTTTGCATAAAAAGTTTTACACCAATCAGAATCTGTGTTTTGGATCTACTTCGCCCCGTTCTGTGTGTGTCTCTGTTGGGTGTCGATTAATCCACTTAAAGTGCAGACAGTTACCTTTGCGGTCACCAATGAATCTGATTCTGAAATTTGTACCGTTTTGAACGAGGAATTGGGGGAGGGGGGGCATGTTATATTTCTTAAAAACAGGGAAATAACACTTTATTTTAACGAAGCCTGTGAGTTGTAAATCAACCATCAGCTCCCCTGCAGGGGCTTTCAGGGCATATGCTGTGCGCAAATGGAAAACTTGTTCAGGATACAAAAAAACAAAGAAAAAAAACAGAAAACTCTTATTCTGGCCGGTTTCAGTCCTAATAAATCACACAGAGTATTGTAATAAATCACACAGAGTATTGTAGAACCTTTTGTTCCTTTCGTGCCAAATTCATAAACTACAGAAAAGCATATTAGCTTGGTTTGATCATTTTAACTTAGCGGAGCAGTTAGCAAACTGCCAAGTTTGTCTGCCTGAATGATAAAGAGTATTGCTTCTCTCTCTGCTCCCACATTTAATGCGGGAATCACCATAGCAACTAAGGACTGACTTCTATTCTGATTAATAAAAAGGTCACGCATTGCGTTTCAGTCGTCCTGTCAGGATTTTGTTCACAAACTATTTTGTTACTCCATTTGTTTAAACAAAGTAAAGTCGCAAAAGTTTAGTTTATGTGGCCTTTATTCGTCAGTAGCTTAACAGGAAGAAAGGTAAGAAAATTTTTCCATCCAGTTGCCATGCAATTTTTTAAAAAAAAGAAAAGAAAGAAAGAGAAGAGACTTTCGATCTACTGGTTTGGAGCGAATCAACCAGGCTACGCAAAATCGTGATGTTTTTATTTTTTATTTTTCTAATCAGATGTTGACACTACGCATGGCTGTCCTAAACAAGATGTAGAGGTTGCAAATTCTCATGCATCCTTTCAGAAAAATCGGACTCCTCCCCCTCGTAACTCTGGTATGGCATAGAACCGCCAGAGGATGGGAGCGTTTTTCCTCTCCCGTTCCGGCCAAGACTTTCCTCTTCGTCGAGAACTCTGACTCTCCTCTCCTGTGCTGAAGGTCTGGATTGGGAAGGTTTGCTACAATTTTCAATTTTGCAGTTTCCATCAATGTTTTCTAATATGATACTTCAAAACTCACATGGTAACAACCCTACTTACTTTAGCCTTAATTGACGCTAATCCACAAACTCAAAATTTTCGAGACATTAAGAATAATTTTAAGATTACAAGCCAGTATTTTAAAGATGCTTAATCAGTTCTATTGGAACTGATAAAGTGAAGATGCCATATCTGTTTTAGGTAGTTGCTGCTTATGGTCTTGTCCACAGACTTGTATATTTTAAGACTGTGAGTTTGAATTTATATGAAGATATTAGGTCCATGTTTCATATTTAAAGTCTTGTGGCATTCAAGGTGCTAAATGTCTGTTATTACGTTGACAGGACCAAATGCAGAAGGCGGTGTTGATGTGGCTTTTTCTGTGTCGTTTTGACGGGGAATAAAAGCAAAAAGCGAATAAATCGGTCTGCTGCAGCCTTCATATTCCAGCAACAGATAAAGCCTTTCTGAGAGGCAGCACAGCAGCAGCAGCATCAGCAGCAGCTCACTGCAGGGAGTTGGGTCAAAGGTGACGGGATGATGGTGAGGAAAGCATGGCTGTGGCATCTGAATCATCAACAGCGACCTCCAAAGAACAAACTCAAGGACAAAATCTGTTTCTGCAAGAGGTTATTGGAAATCTAAACTAGATTTTTCTAAAAGAGGGAATTAGGTTTGTGTTATTCGTGGAGACATCCGACTGCAAATCAGACAACAAAGTGTTACAGGATCTCAAGATTAATTTTAGCTGCGCGTTAGATGGAAAAATAATGTCAGTCATTGTCATCTGCAAACTGCCTTTATGCTCCAGGTCTAGAATAAGTCATCAGTGTTTTATCTTGCAAATCCAGACGGTTGTTTTGATATTCCTGTAAGTTAAAGGGACAGTGCGCCTCTTTGGAGATGAGCTTAAAGGGCCTGTGGTGCTCTAAGATGTCTGGAACTGTCTCGGAAACGATCCCCGCCATAACCTCGGCTCCTCGGTGAGGATTCCTTCCCGGTTCTCCAAACTGAGATCACTGCATGGGAATTTCTGACTGGACATTCTCACCCAAACCAATGGAAATCTGGACTATCCATTTAAAATGGAATGTAGTCTGAGCTGCCGCAGGACCGCAACAGATTGAGGAGACGTGTTGATGTCTCTCAGTACACTTCTGCAACTTTGACTTGCACGTTTTGTTTTTTGTTTTTATGTTTGAGATGCCCAGGGAGTTGATTTTATGTTGGTTTTTTTGGGGGGGCGGTGCAGCTCAGTTAGTGGAAAACTGGAGGGTTTATCCTTGGATTTTCTGCGTTTCTGGGTCATGGCAGCAGACAGAGACATAGCTGTGGTCCACTGTCTCTCTGCCAGGGGACGACTGACTCTCTTGAGGTCCCAGAGGGGGGCCTCCGGGCCTCTGCCAAGACCAGAGCAGAGCTGCTATTACGGGCTGCCAAATAAAAAAAAAACAACCACACGGGGAAGACTTTATTACTGCCGACGTGTGTGCAGAAAAATGCTCGCAAACATCGACGGAGTCTGTGCTTGTGGATTGTATTGGAAGTCTCTCCAAACGAGGACCGAAACGTTCTGCTCTTCGGAACCAACGGCTCCATGTGCGACTGTGAGTCATAATAATAAAGTGAAGATGCAGCAGATACAGCCGGGGGAGAAGCTCTCACTCACACACCCACGGCGTGCGGGTGGGTGTGATTTGACCTTGATGAAAACACACACTCCTGTGTTTGGATGAAACACGGCACTCCGTGACAGTTCTCATCTGAAGTGCTTCTCCGAGACTCATCTGATTGCTGCACTTGATGCATCAACAAATACTACGTGCGTGCGTGCGTGTGTTTCTATTTTACTATTGTGTCATATTTTTCGGCAGGATTTTTAAAACGTCTGTAACCACCAAACAGGCTGTTGGACTGACCAATCAGAGCAGGATTAGCTTCGTATTGGCACAGACTTTTCTAAATTCTCACCCATAATGCATTGCATCAACGTGGAGGGAAAACATTGTGTATGGTCAGAGACTGTTAGACTGGAGGGGTTTTTTTTATTGAATTTTTTAAAATAATTGCTCTCTTCGGTGCTCCTAATCCTTAGTCTTAGTTCTCATTCTTCAGGTTTTTTTTTTTTTCAGTTTTAGTGATTAGTGTTTTCTCACAACTACTGTATTTTAATTAGCTTCTCTTATCCCAGCGCTTTATTGCACGTTAGTCATATCCCTCGGCTCCTCCAGCCGAGCATCGGTTAATTAGACTCACCTGATACCTTCTCCCTGTAATTATCCTGTCTTCAAGCTTCAGTTTTCTCCTTTTTTTTTTTTTTCCTGCATATTTCTTGCTGGCCTGGTTCTTGTTCATGTCTGTCCCCTCTCTCTCTCTCTCTCTGTCTCTGTCTCTCTCTGTCTCTCTGTCTCTCTGTCTCTGTTTTGAAAGTTGGACTTTTGACTATTTGATTTCGACTCCTGCCTGCGGTTTGGCTCGGTCCCTCACAAAATCCACACACAGTAAACACGGCACTTTTAAACTGACTTCTGTATTCAAACAAACAATAAAACAGTTTGATTTTTATCAGGTACATTTTTACTTGGAAAAAAACCCCCCAAAAAAACATGATTTTGAATATGTGGACTGATTTTCTTTCATTTTAGTCACCTTTGATCATTATGATTGTTTAGCAAAATCTTTTTAAATATCCAGTATAAGAGGCAAATTAATGTTCTTTTTTCTTACCGGTCTCATTGTGATGTGCTTTAACCTGCCCCTACTGTTGTAGCATATTTCACATAATTGCATTACATCACTCTTGGTGCAACAAACTGTCCACCATCCCTCCAAACTTACTACAGCACAGGTTATTAAAAAGCTGTGAGCGCGCGTTACATAATCAGAGTGTGCGGCCTTCGTAGAGGCTCTGATAATTACTGTTATGAAGGAGACGAGATGCTCACTGCTTTTGTTCGTGCAGGAGGAGTCCCAGGACAGAAGCTGGATAATTACATCTAATCGGGAATAAGGAGGGAATAAATTTGGCATGGTTTGGCGGCGGGCGGGGGGCTCTGCACAGAACGCTGGTAATAACCGAGCATCACTGTCGGGCGTCTGACTGCTGCGAGTTCAGATGCTTATCAGTGAAATTCCATAGGAAATTAATGGATGGGTTGGAGAGATCACAGAAGCAGGCAGACTTAATAACATCACACACACACACACACACACACACACATGCTGTTATTATGTTATTACAGCACTGTGAGTAATCAGAGAATATGTTAATGTGTGATAAGGAAACAAATTGGTCATATAAAGCAAGAAAGAACTGAGGTGTGCTCATCGTTCTTTTCTATTATTTTCCACCAAGTTCCTTTTTATATCTGTGCAGATTCAGGGCTGGATTTAGAAGAATAAGGGCCCCTGGGCTCGAGCAAGAGTTGGTGCCCTATTCCCTGCCCGAACAAAATAACGTAGAGAAATAAGTATTTTACTGATGCCATCTACAGAACAGTTGGTAGGTCTTTGCAGGTACAAACTGATGCTCTATTTGAAACATCTGGAAGATGGCTCCACGCTGGTCCCAGAAACATTGTTTTTTTGTTGTTGTTTGTTTTCATCAACCATTATTTTTAGTTTTAAATTTAAAAAAGAAATCTGACGATGTCATAAAAAAACCCCCGCCACATGTAAAACGAGTCCGTGACTTTAATATGAAGTGTGATGTTTCTTAAACATGCATAATACAAGCAAAAAACATATTTTAAGTTTTTTTCCCCTTAAATTAATAAAGTTATTAACTGTATTTCAAAGAATCTGCTTGCAGTGTAGCTTACTTGGCAGATCCACGAGTTGTATGGTGGATTTCGATAACAAAAATGATCTAAATTAGTCTCGGTGCCACAAAATCATTGAAATAGCCCTGTAACACACTCCAAAAATGGCACCTAATTTTAGTATTTCAGTGCTTCATTATAATTCAACTCAAAAATACTTTTATTTGTCCCACAGGGAAATATAAATTAAATCGATGCTTTGAGCTTTCTCTTTTTCAAACCTTAAAATTTGGGGTCGTAATTCAAGTATTATTTGAGCTTTTGAGATGCCAGTCAGCTCCTTCCACTTCTAAAAATGACAGATTGTTGCCAAGGTTACACATCATAACAACTGTCTGAAAGTAGTAAAAAAAATTTTAAAAAAACGTTTAAGCAGCTGCAAAGCATCTCAAACCAGGCGGAATAATTATTTGAACATGCAGTGGCTCAACTAAAGAATAATTTGAACAAAAAAGAACAAAGCGGTAGCTCAAATGTGTGCAGAAAGCACAATCTAGAAATGTCAACATGGAAGAGTTAGAAATTTTGTAAAGAAAAGAAGAATGAGGAGGTTATTGTTTGCTTGTTTTTTTCCTGCTGCGTTTCAGGAATCGACTACAAGACGACGACCATCCTCCTGGACGGGAGACGAGTCAAGCTGCAGCTCTGGTATGAAAACACGAGGAAAGCGGCTGGCTGTTGTTCAGCAGCCGTCCTCACAGCGTGTGATCTACAAGCAGAGAGTGTGGTTGTGTAACAGCAGAGCAGAGGAGGTCCTGGTTCGGTCCAAAAATAAACAGCAAGCATGTGAGGCAGCTTTGACTTGATGGAGGTTTTGTTTTTGTATTTTTTTTATTTATTTTTTTTCCAGGTGACGCAGCCTCCAGCTTCAGCTTTGATTTAAACTGTATTTATGTCAAGGCTCTGCGCGAGGCGAGCTAAAGTTCGCTCTGCTGTCAGATTACGAACATGTTTTCTCACTGGTTTCGGTTATGACGTAAGAAGATTAGAAGTGACAAATCAGGCATTAGGACAGGGTTTCGTACATCAGAAGTCTGAAATCTCAGAGCCACCCGACATACCGAGGTCTTCAGTAAGCAACAAATCAGCGAGCAACTCCCTTTTCAACACTGTTTGGATGCCTTAGCGCTTGCACCGAGTCCTGATTTGGTCCTGTAGCAGTGTCCCTGAAGGCCTGTTCAGAGGATCTCCAGTTCTCCCTCATTAATCAACAGAGAGAACCAAGTGGACAGGAAATTGCTTCAGGGAGTACAGTCTACGGCGCGGTTTCAGCACCAAAATTAAGACGATTACACACTCGGTGTTGGCTACATGTCATAAGCGGCTGTATCCACTTTGAAGGGTTAAGAGTCACAAAAGACAATCGACACACGCATGACTCGGTCGCGTTGGACCACCTAGAAACCAGCGACCGGACTGGATGTGGTCTGAGAAAAGACACCATAAACTCTGGGTTTATGTAAGCGTTACTTTGAGGATCAACAGCTGGTTTCTGCTTCGTGCCAAGTAGAAACTAAAATGTCTCAACTTGGGGAAAACATAACAGCTGGGCCAGGAGCAAGAGAATCCAGTCAGAAAACCAAATGTCCTAAATGCGTATCCCCATCAAAACTGTTGCTTATGCCCAAACTGGAGGGAAAAAAAAAACATTGTAGATATAAATGGCGACTGCTCTGAACCAGCTGCTGTCAGACTGAGGGAACTGATGTCTGGAGGTCTTGAAACATGGATAAGGTTGTAAAGTTCATCCATAAAGTGTATTTTATGTTTATTTGCATTGGGGTGTGGGAGGAAGTATCTTATTTTTCTCTCCTTATGTATGTTTTTGTTTCAGGGATACATCCGGACAGGGTCGGTTCTGCACCATATTCAGATCCTACTCCAGAGGAGCGCAGGTATGGATCATGGAGATTTCACCAAGGTTCCCCCCCAGAAAACCTGCTAAGCCCGGCGGTTGGGCGCTAGGCCAGTCATTCATTGTCTTTGAGTTAAAAAAATGTTTAACATTGACAGGAAATTTGAAGATATCACTTGATAGTTATGTGTTATTTAAATATTTTAAGATTAATACCTGAACACCTACTATAAAGCTTTAAAAATGCAAACATTTTCAAATGAATAAGTAATGCCTAGCCTGGTGGGGGCACAAGTAAAGCCTGGTGGCCCGCCAGGCTTGGAATACAACTGGGGGAAACCCTGTTTCACCATTTCTCTGTCCCGCATCATGTTATTTATTCTTGAACGCGTTCGAAGGAATCGAACCCAAATCCACAACAGCTTCTGTAAGGCTCATTTTCAGGAAGTTCACATTTGATCTTATTTAAATTTGCTGGAAGCTCACAAGCCAAATCTAGCAATGTTTCTGAATAAACCCAGATCGATCAGAATTTTACATATAGTTGGACATTAAAAGAAATGTTGGTGCCTCTTTACCATCCCTGCTGTGATGCAGTGTAAATCCGCCGTTCGGAGATTCGTCTCCCGATGGAAAGTTGGGAGGAAAATTTGCCACCTTTTCATCCTCAAACACTGTTTACACAAGCAGTCTGTTGTCGTCTCTCATCAGGCTATTAGTGGGTGCAGAGCAGATATCGCCATAGCAACAGTGGCAGCGTTTCCATGGAGAGGCTAACAGATGCTCTTGAACCTTGAGTTTGTGGAGTCAAAGTGAGCAGAAAACGGAGAAAAACCTTGAACTGCAGCTCCCATCATGCCTTGCTTGCTGCAGCGTACAGTAAATGACTGTTAGTTGCTTGCACGCAACGTAGTCTTTTACAATTTCCAACAATTTAGAAGTTGCACAATAGAATTATTAAAATAGAGATGATCCATTACTATGATATCGGTTGTTTCACTTCATTTATGCAGACAAAGCAATATAAAATAGCGTTTAATATTTGGCAAAAGAGTCAGGATTTTTTTGTTTTCCTGGAATTGCAAATTGAAATAAATCTAGAATGATGCCATTTAGCATTTTTGATTTAGTTTTATTTGAAGCTTGTTCATTAAAAATGGATCATATGGATTCATAATTCTTGAATGTTTTGTGGGAACTTAAAAGATAATTTTACACTCTGCAGGGAGTAATCCTGGTGTATGACATCACCAACCGCTGGTCCTTCGATGGGATCGACAGGTGGATCAAAGAGATCGACGAGGTCGGACGGCGAGCGGTTTGGTGCCAATTCACGATTCCAGTTAAAAGTCCCATTCATTTTCCAGTGCTCCCTCTTTTTTTACCCAGCATGCACCGGGAGTGCCCAAGATCCTGGTCGGGAACCGCCTCCACCTCGCCTACAAGCGTCAGGTGACTACGGAGCAGGCGCAGGTGTACGCCGAGAAGCTGGGCGTCACTTTCTTTGAGGTGAGCCCGCTCTGCAACTTCAACATCACCGAGTCATTCACGGAGCTCGCCCGCATCGTCCTCATGAGGCACGGCATGGAGCGCCTGTGGAGGCCCAACAAAGGTCAGAAGGTCACCGCACACACACACACACACACACAGTGCTCACAGCGGATTCAATTTACGGTTTAGGTCTGTGCTGCCCTCTGCTGGACAACAGCAGAACAACCTAGTGATGGTATCAGTAGGAAAATATGTTTTTAAGGACGTTAGAATAAAATGTTTTTCGCCATCTTTTAGATTAAATGTATTTAGAATGTTCTTGAAAAGTTAGCTTTAGTCTTCATGAACATAGTTAGTAATCGTAAAACATCTTCTTACTTTTACAAAAATGTTTATTGAAATTTTTACTACTTTTTTCCAAAATTATGTTTCAGATGTTAGACTTGATTTTATTTTATTTTTTTTCCTTTTTAATTATGACACAATTTTACATTGCCTAAAGGATTGTGCATTTGATATTAAATGAGTTTTTTCCAATAGATTTCTTTGAGTAAATATATTCAAATAATTGTTCAAGCATTAATACATTTTTTTAACATTACACCTGCATTTGAAATAATTGCTGCATTAATTAAGAAATTATATTAGTCCATTTAGATTTTTTTCCCCCTCTAAAAACTCTCTCAATATTTCTTTGAGTTTTTTTAATGTATTACCAAAATGTTTCTTTTTAAAAGAAAAAATTTTTTTTTATTTATTTTGAAATATTGTTTCTAAGTATTACAAATGTGACTATTTTATACGGAGCCCCTAAGGGGACATGGAGAAAAAAAAAAAAAGGAAAGAAATCCCGACTTATTATCGCGAGATCCCGAGAAACTAAGTCGAGATCTCGAGATCCCGACTTATTATCGCGAGATCCCGACTTATTATCTCGAGATCCCGACTTATTATCTCGAGATCCCGACTTATTATCTCGAGATCTCGAGATCCCGACTTATTTTCTCGGGATCTCGAGATCCCGACTTATTTTCTCGGGATATCGCGATAATAAGTCGGGATCTCGAGATAATAAGTCGGGATCTCGCGATAATAAGTCGGGATCTCGCGATAATAAGTCGGGATCTCGAGATCTCGACTTAGTTTCTCGGGATCTCGCGATAATAAGTCGGGATTTCTTTCCTTTTTTTTTTTTCTCCATGTCCCCATAGGGGCTCCGTAATTTTATAGATAATTGGTTTGAATTATTCTTGTTTTCTGACTTAATAAAAGTGTAGCAGTATTAAGTTAACTTGTTTCTGATTGATTCCCTGAATTTGTCGATGATCTGCTCTTAAATTTTATCCAGATAAACATGCAATAAAATTACAAGTTGACTACTATTTGATATAAAGCAGGGATCTCATACTGCATTCCTCAAGAACCAGTGTCAATGCAGGAATGCAGTCTGAGACTACTGATACATTGTTGAAAAAATTAGGACTAATTTAAAATGAATTTTAAAAACTAACTTTTTGGTGTTGTCCTTGTGTCAGTGCTGAGTCTTCAGGACCTCTGCTGCCGCTCCATTGTCTCCTGCACGCCTGTCCACCTCGTGGACAAGCTGCCTCTGCCCCACACCCTCAAGTCCCACCTCAAGTCCTTTTCCATGGCCAACGGTCTCAACGCTCGCATGATGCACGGACGCTCCTACTCCGTCACCGCCGCCGCCACGGCCGCTCATCACAGCGCTGCCAAGAGGAGTGGAGGGACGCTTCTTAAAAAGCCAAAATTGATCCGACCGCCGCCGCTCAGCCCGACAACGCAGGGCTGCAGAAACAGCTGCAAAATATCCTAACGGCAGCGAACGCACCACCGGCTGTGGATGGGTCATGGCCAAGTACAAAGTATGTGTGAAGAGAAGAAACGAGAGACAAAAACTTTTATGTTTGGAGACGAGGAAACATCAAGTTGAACCTCTGACCAGAGATGTTGGTGGCGAACAGCTTCTTCTTCTGTTCATCCATCATGATGGGTTTAAAGATAATGTCAGGGAATCTGTTTGAGTCTGTAATGTAATCTTGTATGGCTTTAGTAGACTATTTAGTATGGGACAAACACTCAGTTCAGACAACATTTAAATATAAAATATAAAAATCAAAAAATTTTAAGATGAAATATTCTCAAAACACCATCAAAGTTCAAAATGATCTAATTATAAAAACTGCTTATTTATTTTGTGTCCAACACAAAATCAAAAATAACTTTAACTTGGATGTTTTCATTTCTTTCTTGAGTTTGCATTTTCTTTTAGAATGTGTTTGTGATGTAAAGTTGTCATTTATGTTTGTGCATAGAAATATTTTCACTAGTTCAAGCGTTACATCCGCAGTTAAACCTCACCGTTTGTTCCACAGTGACACCTGCTGTTTGGGATGAAGACTGCAGCGTGTAAAGTACTGATATAAACAGTTAAAGTGAGGCGTTGTTTTGGCATAAACATGCATTGAGTGTAAAACTAATCTCCCATTCCCATTTATTTATTTATTTTTACTCAGAATTTATTCAGTTTTTTTAAACAAGTTTCTAATTGTACATGAATAGGAACATTGGTCTAAAAAATAAGACTTATAAATTATTTCAAATGTTATGTGAATTATTTCTCATTTGGTTTACTTTTTAAGTTTAAAACATAACATTATTTTGATAACATTTTAAAAATCCTACAAAGTGTAGATTTTGACTCCTAAAGTGTATCTTTGAGTGAAAATTCCTTGTTCCGTATTAATCTCTCTGTTACTGACCTTGCCACTTGATTTATGAATGTTTGGCAAATGTCAGATCAATTTAAACGTTAGCAGCATTTAGAGATGTGTAAAGTTTTGTCATTTAAAGTGACATGAAAGTGGAAGTGATATTAATGTTGCTCAAAGGTTTTCCTACAGTTAATTTTTTATATACCAGAAATCTCATCTGCTCAGACTGAAAGTTGACAAATATTATCCTTCTCGGAGGCAGAAAAAAAAATACAAACTATGGGGCATTTTCTTCCTCAGGTTTTCTACGACATTAACATGTATCAAACGGCACTTTGACGCTGACTTTTTGCACTTCTCTCGCACCGTTACTCTACCAGCAGCCATTTTGTGTACAATATTTGTACGTGTTGTAAATATTCCCGTTTGATATGATGAAGAACTTATGTTTTATTGTTTTTCCAGTGAGACATTTTTCTGCAGAAATGTCTGAAAGTTGTGTTTATCATTGATTCACAATAAACTTCACTACCTTCCACATTCTTGAACTGTCCTCTTTCCTTTTTCTGTTTTTTTTTTTTTAAGTTCCAAATGTTTTAACCTGGCAACTCATAATTCAATGCATTGCTTATAAAAGTGATACTAATCAGGGACTATTTTACATGTACTTTATTGGAATTTTATATGAAAAACTAATACAAAAAAAAGCAAAATAATTAAGTTATAAGTTTAAAAATTAGCTTACGTTTACGATGGAAACGGTGCCGTGGGTGTGTTTGAATTGAAACTCTAAATATTTCTACCCAAATAGTGACAGCAAGAAGTAACCCGGTGTGTCCAAGGTTCAAAAATAAGTGAGGTAGGAACAGCTTGGGGTCCCCACAGATTAAGGAGCAGAGGCAGCTCCAGTCCACCAGGTGGCGGTAGAACACCGAGTTTACCGTTGTGTGGAAAGGAAGAACAGGATGAGGTTGGTTTCCAGTCAGCTGGAAAAATCTCTGGGATTTAGTTAGTTTCACTCGCTCTACATTTTCCGATTCACGGTCCAGACAGCACGAGTTAGCCGTGCCATAGAGCCGAACCGGGCGGCTTCGAACCGGTTCTGAACAGCATTTGGAACTGGAGCAGACTGACTGGTTCAGAATCCAGAACCTTCTTCCTGCTCAGAAACACCAGCCGTTTTGTTCCCGTTTAGATGTGCAGTTTCTCAAACTTCCTGTTCAGGTGAGAGTTCTGGACAGGTGAGTCAGGTTCAGGTTAGGAAGTCCAGAGAGGACTGGAAGTGAAACCAGAACCCAAGAACTGTTTAATCTGCAGCTCAGAGACAGAGAAAGTGAACATAAGTTTTTTTTTTTTTTAATGTCCTGTTGATGGTTTTCTTTGTTTTTTATCTATTACGTAGTAAAACACGCATAATATAAATTTATCCACACAAATTGATAAATATTTTGAGGGTTAATTTCCAAATATTGTGATGATTGTGACTTAAAGCTAACAAGAACCAAAATATTAGTTTATTTTTTATTTAATATTACACCAGAACAATAAAAATCATTTGAAATATTTCATAGTCTGCATAATCATTGACAAGACTGATTACTTGACATCCTCTTCAAATTGGTCATGCTGCAACAGAGGGAGAAAAACGCTGTATCCCAGCATAATCATGGAAAGTTAAGTGGAAGGAAAAACTGTATTCAGTATGTGAATTACAAATGGCATATTCCTTATTTATGCAAGACCTTAAAGTCTTGAATTTGATAACTTTATTGAAAACCTTTAAAAAGTGTTAAATAAACTTTCTGTACTGGGTGTCAAAGCTACCAGACTTTTTGTTTCAGTTGCTCTGGATGTAGTTGATCTCCTTTAGCTCAACCCTGATCATGAGGCAGAACCTGGATCCAACTCCTAACCGAGTTAGTCCTAACTAGTTTCTGTGCATCATCTGCAGACATGGCGAAGCTCCGTCACTGCTTCACGATCCTCCTGCTCCTCTTCACCGCCGAATCGGCTCACAGTGACTTCTTCACTTCCATCGGTGAGTTTCTCCTTCCTCAAAACTGTCTTTCTCCTCATGTTAACTGTGTTTTTTGTTTTGTTTTTTTCCCCTCAGGTCACATGACGGACCTCCTGTTCGTGGAGAGGGACCTGGTGTCTTCGCTGAAGGACTACATCAGAGCAGAGGAGAACAAACTGCAGCGAATCAAACGGTGAGGTGTACGGCACACAGTTCTTTTTGTTTAACCTCTGGCGTTGTTGGAATGTGAGGTAAGCCATTCTGGGAAAACCACGACTCCATACGTCTCATTCGCTGGTGTGTGTTTGTGTGTGTGTGTCTTCAGGTGGGCGGAAAGACTGGACGTGCTCTCGACGGCCGGTTCTCAGGATCCCGAGGGTTTCCTGGGTCACCCGGTGAACGCCTTCAAACTGATAAAGNTTCCTTTTTTTTTTTTCTCCATGTCCCCATAGGGGCTCCGTAATTTTATAGATAATTGGTTTGAATTATTCTTGTTTTCTGACTTAATAAAAGTGTAGCAGTATTAAGTTAACTTGTTTCTGATTGATTCCCTGAATTTGTCGATGATCTGCTCTTAAATTTTATCCAGATAAACATGCAATAAAATTACAAGTTGACTACTATTTGATATAAAGCAGGGATCTCATACTGCATTCCTCAAGAACCAGTGTCAATGCAGGAATGCAGTCTGAGACTACTGATACATTGTTGAAAAAATTAGGACTAATTTAAAATGAATTTTAAAAACTAACTTTTTGGTGTTGTCCTTGTGTCAGTGCTGAGTCTTCAGGACCTCTGCTGCCGCTCCATTGTCTCCTGCACGCCTGTCCACCTCGTGGACAAGCTGCCTCTGCCCCACACCCTCAAGTCCCACCTCAAGTCCTTTTCCATGGCCAACGGTCTCAACGCTCGCATGATGCACGGACGCTCCTACTCCGTCACCGCCGCCGCCACGGCCGCTCATCACAGCGCTGCCAAGAGGAGTGGAGGGACGCTTCTTAAAAAGCCAAAATTGATCCGACCGCCGCCGCTCAGCCCGACAACGCAGGGCTGCAGAAACAGCTGCAAAATATCCTAACGGCAGCGAACGCACCACCGGCTGTGGATGGGTCATGGCCAAGTACAAAGTATGTGTGAAGAGAAGAAACGAGAGACAAAAACTTTTATGTTTGGAGACGAGGAAACATCAAGTTGAACCTCTGACCAGAGATGTTGGTGGCGAACAGCTTCTTCTTCTGTTCATCCATCATGATGGGTTTAAAGATAATGTCAGGGAATCTGTTTGAGTCTGTAATGTAATCTTGTATGGCTTTAGTAGACTATTTAGTATGGGACAAACACTCAGTTCAGACAACATTTAAATATAAAATATAAAAATCAAAAAATTTTAAGATGAAATATTCTCAAAACACCATCAAAGTTCAAAATGATCTAATTATAAAAACTGCTTATTTATTTTGTGTCCAACACAAAATCAAAAATAACTTTAACTTGGATGTTTTCATTTCTTTCTTGAGTTTGCATTTTCTTTTAGAATGTGTTTGTGATGTAAAGTTGTCATTTATGTTTGTGCATAGAAATATTTTCACTAGTTCAAGCGTTACATCCGCAGTTAAACCTCACCGTTTGTTCCACAGTGACACCTGCTGTTTGGGATGAAGACTGCAGCGTGTAAAGTACTGATATAAACAGTTAAAGTGAGGCGTTGTTTTGGCATAAACATGCATTGAGTGTAAAACTAATCTCCCATTCCCATTTATTTATTTATTTTTACTCAGAATTTATTCAGTTTTTTTAAACAAGTTTCTAATTGTACATGAATAGGAACATTGGTCTAAAAAATAAGACTTATAAATTATTTCAAATGTTATGTGAATTATTTCTCATTTGGTTTACTTTTTAAGTTTAAAACATAACATTATTTTGATAACATTTTAAAAATCCTACAAAGTGTAGATTTTGACTCCTAAAGTGTATCTTTGAGTGAAAATTCCTTGTTCCGTATTAATCTCTCTGTTACTGACCTTGCCACTTGATTTATGAATGTTTGGCAAATGTCAGATCAATTTAAACGTTAGCAGCATTTAGAGATGTGTAAAGTTTTGTCATTTAAAGTGACATGAAAGTGGAAGTGATATTAATGTTGCTCAAAGGTTTTCCTACAGTTAATTTTTTATATACCAGAAATCTCATCTGCTCAGACTGAAAGTTGACAAATATTATCCTTCTCGGAGGCAGAAAAAAAAATACAAACTATGGGGCATTTTCTTCCTCAGGTTTTCTACGACATTAACATGTATCAAACGGCACTTTGACGCTGACTTTTTGCACTTCTCTCGCACCGTTACTCTACCAGCAGCCATTTTGTGTACAATATTTGTACGTGTTGTAAATATTCCCGTTTGATATGATGAAGAACTTATGTTTTATTGTTTTTCCAGTGAGACATTTTTCTGCAGAAATGTCTGAAAGTTGTGTTTATCATTGATTCACAATAAACTTCACTACCTTCCACATTCTTGAACTGTCCTCTTTCCTTTTTCTGTTTTTTTTTTTTTAAGTTCCAAATGTTTTAACCTGGCAACTCATAATTCAATGCATTGCTTATAAAAGTGATACTAATCAGGGACTATTTTACATGTACTTTATTGGAATTTTATATGAAAAACTAATACAAAAAAAAGCAAAATAATTAAGTTATAAGTTTAAAAATTAGCTTACGTTTACGATGGAAACGGTGCCGTGGGTGTGTTTGAATTGAAACTCTAAATATTTCTACCCAAATAGTGACAGCAAGAAGTAACCCGGTGTGTCCAAGGTTCAAAAATAAGTGAGGTAGGAACAGCTTGGGGTCCCCACAGATTAAGGAGCAGAGGCAGCTCCAGTCCACCAGGTGGCGGTAGAACACCGAGTTTACCGTTGTGTGGAAAGGAAGAACAGGATGAGGTTGGTTTCCAGTCAGCTGGAAAAATCTCTGGGATTTAGTTTCACTCGCTCTACATTTTCCGATTCACGGTCCAGACAGCACGAGTTAGCCGTGCCATAGAGCCGAACCGGGCGGCTTCGAACCGGTTCTGAACAGCATTTGGAACTGGAGCAGACTGACTGGTTCAGAATCCAGAACCTTCTTCCTGCTCAGAAACACCAGCCGTTTTGTTCCCGTTTAGATGTGCAGTTTCTCAAACTTCCTGTTCAGGTGAGAGTTCTGGACAGGTGAGTCAGGTTCAGGTTAGGAAGTCCAGAGAGGACTGGAAGTGAAACCAGAACCCAAGAACTGTTTAATCTGCAGCTCAGAGACAGAGAAAGTGAACATAAGTTTTTTTTTTTTTTAATGTCCTGTTGATGGTTTTCTTTGTTTTTTATCTATTACGTAGTAAAACACGCATAATATAAATTTATCCACACAAATTGATAAATATTTTGAGGGTTAATTTCCAAATATTGTGATGATTGTGACTTAAAGCTAACAAGAACCAAAATATTAGTTTATTTTTTATTTAATATTACACCAGAACAATAAAAATCATTTGAAATATTTCATAGTCTGCATAATCATTGACAAGACTGATTACTTGACATCCTCTTCAAATTGGTCATGCTGCAACAGAGGGAGAAAAACGCTGTATCCCAGCATAATCATGGAAAGTTAAGTGGAAGGAAAAACTGTATTCAGTATGTGAATTACAAATGGCATATTCCTTATTTATGCAAGACCTTAAAGTCTTGAATTTGATAACTTTATTGAAAACCTTTAAAAAGTGTTAAATAAACTTTCTGTACTGGGTGTCAAAGCTACCAGACTTTTTGTTTCAGTTGCTCTGGATGTAGTTGATCTCCTTTAGCTCAACCCTGATCATGAGGCAGAACCTGGATCCAACTCCTAACCGAGTTAGTCCTAACTAGTTTCTGTGCATCATCTGCAGACATGGCGAAGCTCCGTCACTGCTTCACGATCCTCCTGCTCCTCTTCACCGCCGAATCGGCTCACAGTGACTTCTTCACTTCCATCGGTGAGTTTCTCCTTCCTCAAAACTGTCTTTCTCCTCATGTTAACTGTGTTTTTTGTTTTGTTTTTTTCCCCTCAGGTCACATGACGGACCTCCTGTTCGTGGAGAGGGACCTGGTGTCTTCGCTGAAGGACTACATCAGAGCAGAGGAGAACAAACTGCAGCGAATCAAACGGTGAGGTGTACGGCACACAGTTCTTTTTGTTTAACCTCTGGCGTTGTTGGAATGTGAGGTAAGCCATTCTGGGAAAACCACGACTCCATACGTCTCATTCGCTGGTGTGTGTTTGTGTGTGTGTGTCTTCAGGTGGGCGGAAAGACTGGACGTGCTCTCGACGGCCGGTTCTCAGGATCCCGAGGGTTTCCTGGGTCACCCGGTGAACGCCTTCAAACTGATAAAGAGGCTCAACACGGAGTGGGCGGAGCTAGAGAGCCTGGTGCTGACTGACGTGTCGGATGGTGAACACACACATATACACACACACACACTTTTTTTTTTCTCTGTCTTCCTTTGAATTAAACACATTATTTTCCTGCAAACTTTTAGTAAAAGATTATTCTTTGGATTACTTCGACGAAGAATTGGCAATGAAAAAAATCAGCAAATTTGTCATTCAATCAATTAGATCTTTTTATATACAGTATTAAAAATGCTGAAAAATAATTAAATTATTTTTTTAAATAAGGAAACAAACATTTTATTTTATATTATATGTTATAGTGCTGTAACATATTCCATTTATAGCACAGCCCGTTCTGCTTCACTTAACACCAATACAGCATATGGTTGAGCTGTTGATTTTTTTATTTTTTTGGATTAACAAACTAATAACCGGATAGCAAAACATGTTTAATAGGAGATTATTTTACTGAAATGGAATCAAGTGAAGCTAAAACTCTGACACTTGGTGAGTTCTGGGTCGAACATACACTGCTCAAAAAAAATAAAGGGAACACTCAAATAACACATCCTAGATCTGAATGAATGAAATATTTTCATTGAATACTTTGTTCTGTACAAAGTTGAATGTGCTGACAACAAAATCACACAAAAATCATCAATGGAAATCAAATGTATTAACCAATGGAGGCCTGGATTTGGAGCCACACACAAAATGAAAGTGAAATGTTCCCTTTATTTTTTTGAGCAGTATATTTACAGATAGTTTTTGTTTATGTTAAATGCAAAAAATGTTTACGTTTGTGTACAGTTTTGACTTAACAGCTGTGAGTGTGTTATTCTTTCAGCGAATGGCCTGTTTTGAGTCTGTATGTACTCCAGGTAATGGTTAATAGGTTACTAAATTAGTTGACAATTATTTCACTGATCAATTAATCCCAAATAATTGTTTCAGTCCAACTTTGCTTTGGATTTTAATCCTGTATAAGATATTAAATTTATTTTTAATTATACTCATTATACTATTTTTACTCATGTCGTTCAG